TTTTCTCTCTGGTCTCTCTCTGGTCTCTCTCTGGTCTCTCACTGGTCTCTCTCTGGTCTCTCTCTGTTTTCTCACTGGTCTCTCACTGGTCTCTCTGGTCTCTCACTGGTCTCTCTCTGGTCTCTCTCTGGTCTCTCTCTGGTCTCTCTGTGGTCTCTCTCTGGTCTCTCTCTGGTCTCTCTCTGGTCTCTCTCTAGTCTCTCTCTGGTCTCTCTCTGGTCTCTCTGTGGTCTCTCTCTGGTGTCTCTCTGGTGTCTCTCTGGTCTCTCTCTAGTATCTCTCTGGTCTCTCTCTGGTATCTCTCTGGTCTCTCTCTGGTCTCTCTCTGGTCTCTGGTATCTCTCTGGTCTCTCTCTGGTCTCTGGTCTCTCACTGGTCTCTCACTGGTCTCTCTCTGGTCTCTCTCTGGTCTCTCACTGGTCTCTCACTGGTCTCTCTCTGTTTTCTCTCTGGTCTCTCTCTGGTCTCTCTCTGGTCTCTCTCTGGTCTCTCTCTGGTCTCTCACTGGTCTCTCTCTGGTCTCTCTCTGTTTTCTCTCTGGTCTCTCTCTGGTCTCTCTCTGGTCTCTCACTGGTCTCTCTCTGGTCTCTCTCTGTTTTCTCTCTGGTCTCTCTCTGGTCTCTCTCTGGTCTCTCTCTGGTCTCTCACTGGTCTCTCTCTGGTCTCTCTCTGTTTTCTCTCTGGTCTCTCTCTGGTCTCTCTCTGGTCTCTCTCTGGTCTCTCACTGGTCTCTCACTGGTCTCTCTGGTCTCTCACTGGTCTCTCTCTGGTCTCTCTCTGGTCTCTCACTGGTCTCTCTCTGGTCTCTCTCTGTTCTGTCTCTGGTCTCTCTCTGGTCTCTCTCTGGCTCCTCCTTCACGCTCAGAGCAACATTCTTTCCTGTCATTGTAAAGAGACTGAACCAGTCTGACAGAGACTCACCTGAGGAACGCCCAGCTCCCAGATAACCTCTGTTGTGAAAAACATGCACATGCTGACACACAGAGTGAATAAAGTATAATCACCATAATCATTTTTATTTCCAGTAATGTACTAACAATTATATCAATCAGTACGTGTCTCCGTAAATTGATAAATTGTTCTAATATTAATCGTTAAATGTTTGCACAAAAGGCCTTTCCATCCATTTTCTGCCCTTTAATCCATTTCTGGGTCAGGGGGGTGGCAGTCAGAGATGCCACCCAAGTCTCATAGCACCAGCCCCTCACTGACCCTCTGCAGGTGGTGAGTCCACAGGAGGACGGCTGCTCTCTGAGTGTGAGCATAGTCTTGATCTTTCAGTGGGGGCTTTGGGCAAAGGGGGGTTAAGTGTCTTGCCCAAGGACACAACGGCAGCAGTCATCAGTGGAGAAGGTGAAGGCCAATGCTCTACCAACTGAGCTACTGTCGCCCAAGGCCTTTCTATTTTTGTATGTTTTTTTTTTTAATGATGCGCCTGGAAGCGGCTGCAAGTCCCAAGTAGCTCTAAAACAGTTATTTTTTGTGCTTAATCAATTGTTATTTTTCTTGCTTTTTTCTGCCTGAGATGTTGCTGCAGTACAGTGTTCATGGTTTTACACTGGTCCAGACCAGAGCAGAGAGGATTCATGGTTTTACACTGGTCCAGACCAGAGCAGAGAGGATTCATGGTTTTACACTGGTCCAGACCAGAGCAGAGAGGATTCATGGTTTTACACTGGTCCAGACCAGAGCAGAGAGGATTCATGGTTTTACACTGGTCCAGACCAGAGCAGAGAGGATTCATGGTTTTACACTGGTCCAGACCAGAGCAGAGAGGATTCATGGTCTGAACCAAGCGGATGAGTTGAAAATCCACTGGAGGAATGCTAACTTTTTGGAAAATGCTAATTTTTAAGCATTTAGCATTTTACTTTGGACTAGAGCAGAGAAAATGGTCCGAACCAAGTGACTACTCCACCTTTGGACCCGTCCTGCTCCACCCAGAGGCTACTCCACCTCTCCTGCTGTACCCGTCCTGCTCCACCCAGAGGCTACTCCACCTCTGCTGCTGTGACCCGTCCTGCTCCACCCAGAGGCTACTCCACCTCTGCTGCTGTGACCCGTCCTGCTCCACCCAGAGGCTACTCCACCTCTGCTGCCGTGACCCGTCCTGCTCCACCCAGAGGCTACTCCACCTCTGCTGCTGTGACCCGTCCTGCTCCACCCAGAGGCTACTCCATCTCTGCTGCTGTGACCCGTCCTGCTCCACCCAGAGGCTACTCCACCTCTGCTGCTGTGACCTGAGGGACTGTTGCTGATTATTACTATTATTATGTTTTCAGAATGATCATTTTTATTGTAGGGCTGGTGCTATGAGACTTGGGTGGCATCTCTGACTGCCACCCCCCTGACCCAGAAATGGATTAAAGGGTAGAAAATGGATGGATGGATGGCATTTTTATTGTTATTTTTGCTGCTACTGGACACCTGGATTTCTCCTACGGGGGATCAATAAAGTATCTATCGATCTATCTTGTGTTATGTGCTAGCCTGAGTTTAGAGAGGTCAGTGCAGAACCAAGGACAGGCTGGTTTTGTGCCATAGTATCCTTTTCAGGAACGATGCTGGTCTTATCATCGGGACAAGGCATGAGACACAAAACCAAGCTACGAACCTTTGCAGGGAGAGGAGATTGGTTCCAGACCGCTGTTTAGATTCCTTTGTATTAGGGAATACACTTTTTGGGATTTAACTTTTCGAATACTGGTCATCAATTATATGGGAATTTCAACACGTCAATTTACATAACCTCACACTCTGACTCTGGGACCATGTGCAATATGGACCATGTGTCACTTTACTTTACTCATCTGTGCAATAATATCTGGAACTAATGTCAGAATGTACAATATAGAACCTCATGTGTCACTGTGACTTTTCTGTGACTGTCCCAGAGCCTCATGCTGCGAATGTACAGATGTAAACATACAACTATACACTACTGCACTAGAGTATACACTACTGTATACACTACTGCACTAGAGTATACACTACTGTATACACTACTGCACTAGAGTATACACTACTGTATACACTACTGCACTAGAGTATACACTACTGTATACACTACTGCACTAGAGTATACACTACTGTATACACTACTGCACTAGAATATACACTACTGTATACACTACTGTATACACTACTGCACTAGAGTATACACTACTGTATACACTACTGCACTAGAGTATACACTACTGTATACACTACTGCACTAGAGTATACACTACTGTATACACTACTGCACTAGAGTATACACTACTGTATACACTACTGCACTAGAGTATACACTACTTTATACACCACTGCACTAGAGTATACACTACTGTATACACTACTGCACTAGAGTATACACTACTTTATACACTACTGCACTAGAGTATACACTACTTTATACACTACTGCACTAGAGTATACACTACTGTATACACTACTGCACTAGAGTATACACTACTGTATACACTACTGCACTAGAGTATACACTACTGTATACACTACTGCACTAGAATATACACTACTGTATACACTACTGCACTAGAGTAGACACTACTTTATACACTACTGCACTAGAGTATACACTACTTTATACTTGCTTCTCATCATGCTGAGTCAGGGCTTTAGTCCGTAAGTCTGACTTCTTCATCTAAAGTTAGAGATTGTAATATTATTATTATTATTATTATTATTATTATTATTAATTTATCTTGTGTTTTTCATTCTTACTGTTCTGTAACTTGTGATGCAACACTGAAAATTAAAGGATCTCTTCATCTGTGTGTCAGCCTGTGTGTGTGTGTGTGTGTGTGTGTGTCAGCCTGTGTGTGTGTGTGTGTGTGTGTGTGTGTGTGTGTGTGTGTGTGTCTGTGTGTGTGAGTGTGTCTGTGTGTCAGGCTGTGTGTGTGTGTCTGTGTGTCAGGCTGTGTGTGTGTGTCTGTGTGTGTCTGTGTGTCAGCCTGTGTGTGTGTGTGTGTTTGTGTGTCTATGTGTGTCTGTGTGTCTGTGTGTGTGTGTATGTGTGTGTCTTTGTGTCTCTGTCTATGTGTGTGTGTGTGTGTGTCTCTGAGTGTGTGTCTAGGTGTGTGTGTCTATGTGTGTGTATCTATGTGTGAGTGTCTATGTGTGTATCTATGTGTGTGTGTGTGTGTCATGTGTAGTTTGTACATGTCTAAGCTTTGTACATGTACTCTGGTATTATGTTAGAGTAAAGTTACTATCTATGTATGTGCTGTTGCTATACTCGAGTACTACTGTCATCTATGTATGTGCTGCTGCTACTCGAGTACTACTGTCATCTATGTATGTGCTGTTGCTATACTCGAGTACTACTGTCATCTATGTATGTGCTGCTGCTACTCGAGTACTACTGTCATCTATGTATGTGCTGCTACTACTCGAGTACTACTGTCATCTATGTATGTGCTGCTGCTACTCGAGTACTACTGTCATCTATGTGCTGCTACTACTCGAGTACTACTGTCATCTATGTATGAGTTAGAGATTGTATTATTATTATTATTATTAATTTATCTTGTGCTTTTCATTCTTACTGTTCTGTAACTTGTGATGCAACACTGAAAAATAAAGGATCTCTTCATCTGTGTGTGTGTCTGTGTGTCAGCCTGTGTGTGTGTGTGTGTGTATGTGTGTCTGTGTGTCAGCCTGTGTGTGTGTGTGTCTATGTGTGTCTGTGTGTCAGGCTGTATTCAGATTCAGATTCATTTATTTGCCATTTGCAGTAAAACCACATTGGAAAAACTGTGCAAGACTACCCCAGTGTGCACCAGACAGAGGCGGCACACACCAGAGCTGTTGCCACGGCGCCATCTTTACGGCGCCATCTTTACGGCGCCATGCGACAAACAGTAGAATAAACAGCAGAGAGCAGTAACATATCACAGACAGTTTGGATAAGACACATTATGTTTTGGATCAAACACGGACGTTTTTATTATGGAAGTAAACTCCGGCCGCCCTTCGCCAATGTGGGCCGTCAGAGGGGGCTAGGTGAGGGGGGGATGAGCAGGAAAGACATAGAGGGGGTGAGGAGGGAGGGAGAAGGGAGTAGGGAGGGGGAGAGGAGGGAGGGAGAAGGGAGTAGGGAGGGGGAGAGGAGGGAGGGAGAAGGGAGTAGGGAGGGGGAGAGGAGGGAGGGAGAAGGGAGGGGGAGAGGAGGGAGGGAGAAGGGAGTAGGGAGGGGGAGAGGAGGGAGGGAGAAGGGAGTAGGGGGGGGAGAGTAGGGAGGGAGAAGGGAGTAGGGAGGGGGAGAGGAGGGAGGGAGAAGGGAGTAGGGAGGGGGAGAGGAGGGAGGGAGGGAGAAGGGAGTAGGGAGGGGGAGAGGAGGGAGGGAGAAGGGAGTAGGGAGGGGGAGAGGAGGGAGGGAGAAGGGAGTAGGGAGGGGGAGAGGAGGGAGGGAGAAGGGAGTAGGGAGGGGGAGAGGAGGGAGGGAGAAGGGAGTAGGGAGGGGGAGAGGAGCAACACTGGACACAAAAACACTGTTTTTGTGTCCAGTGTTGGGTTCAGTCTTTAGTTTATGAAGCAACTTTAGTTCATTGTTCCTGCGCCTCCTGCACTTACAGTCAATACATACACACAATTATACACACAAATATACACAAATACACACAATTATACACACAAATATACACAAATACACACAAATATACACAAATATACAACAGTATTTACCATAGTTTCCCCATGTACTTATATTTTAATTTACACAAGGTTTTTCTAATCACTATTTGTCAAATCAAAATGAAACTAAATTAGAATTTGAGAAACGTAGTCGACGTGTTTTTTTAGAATAGAATATATTTAATATTAAGAATATTAGTTACTATGGCAACACTTTGTTACCAACATCACACACACAGATACTGTACAAACACACACTATTTTAACCCTCACACACAGATACAAACACACACTATTTTAACCATCACACACACAGATACAAACACACACTATTTTAACCATCACACACACAGATAAAAACACACACTATTTTAACCATCACACACACAGATAAAAACACACACTATTTTAACCATCACACACACAGATACAAACACACACTATTTTAACCATCACACACACAGATAAAAACACACACTACTTTAACACTCACACACACACAGATAAAAACACACACTATTTTAACCATCACACACACAGATAAAAACACACACTATTTTAACCATCACACACACAGATAAAAACACACACTATTTTAACCCTCACACACACAGATAAAAACACACACTATTTTAACCATCACACACACAGATAAAAACACACACTATTTTAACCCTCACACACACAGATAAAAACACACACTATTTTAACCCTCACACACACAGATACAAACACACACTATTTTAACCATCACACACACAGATAAAAACACACACTATTTTAACCCTCACACACACAGATACAAACACACACTATTTTAACCCTCACACACATAGATAAAAACACACACATTTTAACCATCACACACACAGATAAAAACACACACTATTTTAACCCTCACACACACAGATAAAAACACACACTATTTTAACCATCACACACACAGATAAAAACACACACTATTTTAACCATCACACACACAGATACAAACACACACTATTTTAACCCTCACACACACAGATAAAAACACACACTATTTTAACCCTCACACACACAGATAAAAACACACACTATTTTAACCCTCACATACACAGATAAAAACACACACTATTTTAACCATCACACACACAGATACAAACACACACTATTTTACCATCACACACAGATAAAAACACACACTATTTTAACCCTCACACACACAGATAAAACACACACTATTTTAACCATCACACACACAGATAAAAACACACACTATTTTAACCATCACACACACAGATACAAACACACACTATTTTAACCCTCACACACACAGATAAAAACACACACTATTTTAACCCTCACACACACAGATAAAAACACACACTATTTTAACCATCACACACACAGATAAAAACACACACTATTTTAACCCTCACACACACAGATAAAAACACACACTATTTTAACCATCACACACACAGATACAAACACACACTATTTTAACCCTCACACACACAGATAAAAACACACACTATTTTAACCCACACACACAGATAAAAACACACACTATTTTAACCATCACACACACAGATAAAAACACACACTATTTTAACCATCACACACACAGATAAAAACACACACTATTTTAACCATCACACACAGATAAAAACACACACTATTTTAACCATCACACACACAGATAAAAACACACACTATTTTAACCATCACACACAGATAAAAACACACACTATTTTAACCATCACACACACAGATAAAAACACACACTATTTTAACCCTCACACACACAGACACAAACACACACTATTTTAACCATCACACACACAGATAAAAACACACACTATTTTAACCCACACACACACAGATACAAACACACACTATTTTAACCCTCACACACACAGATAAAAACACACACTATTTTAACCATCACACACAGATACAAACACACACTATTTTAACCATCACACACACAGATAAAAACACACACTATTTTAACCATCACACACACAGATACAAACACACACTACTTTAACCATCACACACACAGATAAAAACACACACTATTTTAACCCACACACACACAGATAAAAACACACACTATTTTAACCCTCACACACACAGATAAAAACACACACTTTTTTAACCCTCACACACACAGATAAAAACACACACTATTTTAACCCACACACACACAGATACAAACACACACTATTTTAACCATCAAACACACAGATAAAAACACACACTATTTTAACCATCACACACACACAGATAAAAACACACACTATTTTAACCCTCACACACACAGATACAAACACACACTATTTTAACCATCACACACACATATAAAAACACACACTATTTTAACCATCACACACACAGATAAAAACACACACTATTTTAACCATCACACACACAGATAAAAACACACACTATTTTAACCCTCACACACACACAGATAAAAACACACACTATTTTAACCCTCACACACACAGATACAAACACACACTATTTTAACCATCACACACACATATAAAAACACACACTATTTTAACCATCACACACACAGATAAAAACACACACTATTTTAACCATCACACACACAGATAAAAACACACACTATTTTAACCCTCACACACACAGATAAAAACACACACTATTTTAACCCTTACACACACAGATAAAAACACACACTATTTTAACCCTCACACACACAGATAAAAACACACACTATTTTAACCATCACACACACAGATAAAAACACACACTATTTTAACCCTCACACACACAGATAAAAACACACACTATTTTAACCATCACACACACAGATAAAAACACACACTATTTTAACCCTCACACACACAGATAAAAACACACACTATTTTAACCCACACATATAGATAAAAACACACACTATTTTAACCATCACACACACAGATAAAAACACACACTATTTTAACCCTCACACACACAGATACAAACACACACTATTTTAACCCTCACACACACAGATAAAAACACACACTATTTTAACCCTCACACACACAGATAAAAACACACACTATTTTAACCATCACACACACAGATAAAAACACACACTATTTTAACCATCACACACAGATAAAAACACACACTATTTTAACCATCACACACAGATAAAAACACACACTATTTTAACCATCACACACACAGATAAAAACACACACTATTTTAACCATCACACACACAGATAAAAACACACACTATTTTAACCCTCACACACACAGATAAAAACACACACTATTTTAACCATCACACACACAGATACAAACACACACTATTTTAACCCTCACACACACAGATAAAAACACACACTATTTTAACCATCACACACACAGATACAAACACACACTATTTTAACCCTCACACACACAGATAAAAACACACACTATTTTAACCCTCACACACACAGATAAAAACACACACTATTTTAACCCTCACACACACAGATAAAAACACACACTATTTTAACCCTCACACACACAGATAAAAACACACACTATAGTTCAGTCGTGTCAAACTCAGTCCATTTTTATCGTTCCCTAAAATGATTTTTGATTATGAACTTGCAGCGTTGATGGTGTGTGTGTGTTTGTGTGTGTATGCATGTGTGTGTGCCAATGTGTGAGTGTGTGTGTCTATGCATGTGTGTGTTTGTGTGCGTGTGTGTGTGCATATTTGTGCGGGTGTGTCACTGTGTGTGTGGGTGTTTGCCAGTGTGTTTGTGATTGTGTGTGTCTGTGTGAGTGTGTGTGTGTGTGTGTGTATGTGTGTGTCCATGTGTGTGTGTCTACGTGTGTGTGTATGTGTGTGTGTGTCTATGTGTGTGTGTCTATGTGTGTGTGTATGCGTGTGTGTGTCTATGTGTGTGTGTCTATGTGTATGTCTATGTTTGTGTGTCTCTGTGTATGTGTCTATGTGTGTGTGTCTGTGTCTATGTGTGTGTGTCTATGTGTGTGTGTCTATGTATGTGTGTCTATGTGTGTGTGTCTCTGTGTGTGTATCTATGTGTGTGTGTCTATGTGTGTGTGTCTGTGTGTGTGTCTATGTGTGTGTATCTAGGTGTGTGTGTCTATGTGTGTGTGTCTATGTGTGTGTGTCTATGTGTGTGTGTGTCTATGTGTGTGTCTCTGTGTGTGTGTCTCTGTGTGTGTCTTTGTTTGTGTGTCTCTGTGTGTGTGTCTATGTGTGTGTCCATGTGTGTGTCTATGTGTGTGTGTCTATGTGTGTGTGTCTGTGTGTGTGTCTCTGTTTGTGTGTCTCTGTGTCTGTGTCTATGTGTGTGTGTCTATGTGTGTGTGTCTGCGTGTGTGTGTGTCTATGTGTGTGTGTCTCTGTGTGTGTCCAAACGTCCCGCACACACACTACAGTACCTTTGACACTGTCTTCATTGTTGTTGTGTGTCTGATTCAAATCCACAGTAAACTTCTTTCTGTAGAATGACTTTTGTTGCTTCTGGTTCAGTCTTTATTAAACACATTTCTCTGCATTCATAGAATCTATCAAATCTAAATCTTTCATTTTCTCTAACAATAACAAGTGTTTTAGAACAATCCATTCTACACACATGTTTTTTGGACGCTCAGAGACACTTCTCAGCTTTATTCTTTCTCCAAAAGTGAAGCGTCTGGATTGACTTGTGACTGACACTGACCCGGCCCAAAAGTGGTTGGACTGGTTCTGAACAATGCAGAAGAAAGTCTGTGTTCTTAAGCTTTGTACATGTACTCTGGTATTATGTTAGAGTAAAGTTACTATCTATGTATGTGCTGCTGCTACTCGAGTACTACTGTCATCTATGTATGTGCTGCTGCTACTCGAGTACTACTGTCATCTATGTATGTGCTGCTGCTACTCGAGTACTACTGTCATCTATGTATGTGCTGCTGCTACTCGAGTACTACTGTCATCTATGTATGTGCTGCTGCTACTCGAGTACTACTGTCATCTATGTATGTGCTGCTGCTACTCGAGTACTACTGTCATCTATGTATGTGCTGCTGCTACTCGAGTAGTACTGTCATCTATGTATGTGCTGCTGCTACTCGAGTACTATTGTAGTGTGTGTATTTGCTGCTGCTACTCGAGTACTACTGTAGTGTATGTATGTGCTGCTTCTACTCGAGTACTATTGTAGTGTGTGTATGTGCTGCTGCTACTCGAGTACTACTGTAGTGTATGTACGTGCTGCT